TTGCTTATAAATAATTTCAATATAAACTATCTCATCATCTCTTTATAACCATCCTGAGAGGTAATTATTATTCTCATTTTCTAAGTGAGGAAAAACAGGACTAATTTAAGGTTATTCAATTAGTACATAGTTCAGGATATAGATCTGCTACTGCCAAGATACTTGTATTTTCTATCTTACAGCATTCGTGCATTCACTTGCCTATTTATTTATTCAATAAACACTTGTTGAGTACAAAAGAGAGGCTGTCAAGAGGTGGGTTTGGATCCCAGATCTATGAGATCCTTCTACAGAAACAGTGTGAATTTTCTTAGCCATAATCCTCCAAACATAACTCCAGATATCTCTGGAAAACTACAGAATAACCTGTAGATTTTTGTATATAACTCTACGTTTGGATTTTCTAAGAAACAGAATTGAAATAAATTCACTAAGTCAATAATATACAATATCGTCTAGATTCCTAAGATGACTTGGCTTGAGAAATAGAATCTAAGGACTGAGAAATTTCTAGAGACAAAAATACAAGATAAGAAAGTAGAAAGAATCGGAGGACCAGTGGTTTCACAGTGGCTTTTTTCTACCTGGATCCAGGTCTGGTTAGGAAAAGAGTGACTACCTTCCTGGAATCCATAAGGATGACACCTAAACTGAAATTTAAAATAAATACCATAATGGAAAATTCAGGACGTGTGGTTGATAGAGACATGTAATTGACTCTTCAGAGTTGAATTAAATTTTGAACACTTGAACTTTTAGTTGGCTGGACATTTGGAATTTCTCCTTGGTCTTTAAACTCACAGAATTTAATGCAAGTAGGCACAGATCTTTCCTTATTTGTGATTTTAATGTGTTTGAAAAGAAAATGCAGGTTAATATTCTAGAAGACTTGTTCATTCTCAAATTTTAAGTACACATCCTCCAGTGGTAAAATGATTACAGTAAGAACCTTTCCTTTTATTCCGTTTGGTTACTAATTAGTCAAGTCTTTTTTTGAGCACCAGCAAGGCAGTTTGCCAGGTTCTGCTGGAAAATAACGATGAACAAGATCTTAGTTTTAATAGTTGCTTGTTAACCCTGAAAATATAAATGTGAAGTACATGTGTAATACAAGACTCTTAATTAAATCATGTGAGAGTTTAGATTTGTATACCTAAAGTGTCTGATGTATTCTTTAGAGGAAAAATAAGCATATTTAATATTTAAGACAATGTTTAGCATTTTAGTTCAACAGTATTTTTTGCCTGTATTTCATGATTGTGGCATGAAGCTAACTAAAACATCTCTCAAACATTATGCTAAATGAAAGAAGTTCATTTATACAAAAACCTGCATACATTGTCATGCTAGTTTTTTTTTAATTCTGTAAAAAATAAAGGTAATTTATGGTGGAAAATCAGAATTATGATTGCTTCAGGTGGGGAGTAGGTGGAGTGACAGGAGGGTGTTGGTGGTTGGGAAAAGCCAAGAATGAATTTTTCTAAGGCAGTAGCACTATTCATTAACAGCTATGTGATTGAATGGATATTTTTTTTAAACAGGACTTGAAATCAGTCCTAGATCCTCATGCATGCTAGGCTAGTATTCTATCACTGAGCTGCATCCTCCATCTCTGGCGCATGCATTTATTAAATGTCATTGAATTCTAGATTCAAGTTTTGTGTATTGGGTTTTATGTAATAATTGCCTCAAAAGAAACAACCATAAAATAATGTTAAACCATAGTTGTGATATGTTGGAGTATTTGTTGGGGAAGTGTACCTAAACAACTTGCTTTCAATAAATAAGGTGAATTGATGTGCGAAAAGCAGGATATATAGATAAGAATATGATAAAAATAAGTAGAACAAAATGTGAGTATACAGTCTAGATGGTAGATATCGAAGGTGGTTATGATTAAATTGATTCAACAATTTGTACATTTGGAAATTTACATAATAGAATGTTAAGAATCATTTGAAGAGTATGTATATAATGTTTAAGGTGCCTGGTGTTATTCTCAAATGGATTATTCAGGTCAACTCTGTTTGTTTGTGACTCATTTATTTTGCTTAAATCTTGTCACAGAAAGAGGGTAAGTATCCACTTGTTGACTTCCTCCTCTTCCCAGCTGCATGGTTATTTTCTAGTTAATCATGGACTTAACTGTGGTCATGCAACTGAATCTGACCAATGGAACTGGGGCAGGGAAAAATACCCACTGTTATCAGGCATGACTCACGAAGACTGCCTCTGTCTGAGGTTGAATGGTTACTCTGTGGTGAAGGGGTGGAGCCATACACAGTGAGTCCCTGAAGAAGCAATGTTTGCCAATCAGAAATATCTGCTATTAACTTATTATGAGCTAGAAATACAGTTCTCCTTGTTAAACCATGGGATTTGTATTTTACTTGTTATAATAGCTAGTGACACTCTAACTTGTACTCAGCTCCCCTTTGTTGGTACAATCAGTATCCTTATTTAACCTGTGAGGTCCAGTCTTGAAGTTAGACAGTTTCCGTGGCAGCCTTGGGATTCTGACCCAGAAGGTCTGGCTCAACAGTTTAAGCTCCTACATACTACATTAATCTGCTTCTCTGTTCCTTGAAGATATTAACATAAGATGAATAATTACTAACTTCTCCTCTAAGCAAATGACAGTGAGTTATCCTTCAAAGTACAAAAATGTAATATCAAGTGCAGATGTTTTTTTTATAATGACTAAGTATGCTGGTCAGCCAACTAAGTCACCCAGGCCATTTCGGCCAGTGGGCAAGCTTCCAGGTATACAGGGCCTGGGAAAAGCAGAGGGAGGCAGGAGGGGAGGAGAGGATTCAAATAACAGCATCACCAACTTTTGTAGATATCCTATTGCCCATTGTCAGTCTATAAATAATAATAATAAAAGAGAGGGTGTCTCTATCCATGGTGTAGAACTCACTGTCATCTTGCAAGTTGGTGCTTCATTTCAAAATAGGGAAGATTAAGCTCTCTTCTTTAACTTCACCCAGCTAAGTTTTATCAGTAGTGAAAGCAGCTGAAAGGGGACATTACTCACCCCAAATAGATCTTTGAAATAAACCATGTGTATTGATAAATTCCTAACAATAAAGTGGGTCCTGCAAGACTCAAAATGCAAAAAGGGAGACAGCAGAAGAGAACCTCTGCTGTTTTGCTGAACTGCGTGTTGATGACTTTTCCACGTCTCAAAGAAATACATCTAAAATACAGCACCTTATTCTCCAATATGCAGATGCAGGAAGTGGAAACATTTATATATAGACTTATTACCATGGTGTCTCTGGAACTTGTGTTAACCATCAGGCTCTTAATTGCCAGATGTCATGCCTCTCTGAGTTACATTTAGGAAATTATTGATGCTGCCAAGTTCACAGTTAAAGAGAATAAAAAGGGACACAGCAATACCAACAGGCTTATGAATCAAACACAGACTCAAATGAAATTCAGCCATGGGCATTCTGTTTCCATGTTTGTTATGCTAGGTTACCTGTTGACAAAAGAATGGTGGCAATTGTTTTTGAATATGTTTCCATTTTATTATTTGACTTGAGTTTTTGATTGGCTCATTTTATATATATATATATAACAACGTGATTGCTTCATGTAAGCTATGAATAGTGACCAACTCAGAATAATTCACCTTAAACTTTTATCATTTCTACATGTTGACTATTAATTGCTTAAAATTTGTTATCATTTAAACAATCTGAAATATCTTGGATTCCAAGATAAAATCTTTCTCAAGATGACCAGCTTCAAAATAAAAATGAACCAACTTTATTGTTTAAACTTAACCTTTAAAAAACTCTTGCAATCCTACTCTGAGTGACTGTGGTATTTTGTAAGTGACATTGATGGACACTGCTCTCAGCTTTTTCATTTGTATCCATTTTGGGGTCTGGTTTGTCAATATTTGTGAGCTGAATCCCAAAAGACCATTACATTTGCTCATGTGTGGCCCTAGGGCTGCCCTATTGGTCACAGTGACCATAGTGATCATTGGATCCCAGACTTTTGGTTCTATTCTACCATAGAATTCCTGAGGAGCCTGAATATTTAGGTAAGTGCCCAACTTCTAAATAATGTTCATTCCCAGGATTCATTTCCTCCCAGAACCTCAGAATGTGACTATTGGAAATAGGGTCTCTGTAGATATAATCAAGCAAAGGTGAAGTCATACTGATTAGCATAGCTCTAAATCCCAAATGTCTGGTGTGATTCTATGAACAAAAAACAAACACAGAAAAGATACACACAGAAATGGCCAGGCGATGACAGAGACAGATTTGAGTGACATGTCTTCAATAGAGGGAACATCCAGGATTGCTAGCAATCACCAGAAACTAGGAAAAGTCAAGGAAGAGTCCTTCCCTAGCACCTTCAGAGAGAGCATGGCCCTATCAACACCTAAACTTCAGGCTTCTAGTCTTCAGAACTGTGAGATGAAAATTACTGTTGTTTTAAACTATCCAGTTGGTGGCTTTATCATGGCAACCATGGGAAACTGATACAGGGGAGATTATCTCTTGATGGCAAAATGCAGCCACAGAGTATGACCTCAGTTTCCCAGACTCATCCTCCAGTGGTATTGTTTTGGTCTACCTTTGCTACTCTAGCAGAATATGTGAAATTGTTTTATAAATTATAATAAAAACAAATCTATTGGTTCATGGTTCTGGAGGCTGGAAAGTCAACATTGAGTAGCAGGAATCTGGCATAGGCCTTTTTGCTGCATCATTCCCTGGAAGAAAAGCAAAAAGAGTGTGAGGGGAATGAGAGACTGAACTCACCGTCTCAATCCCTTTATTATTATTATTATTATTATTATTATTATTATTATTTTGGTCTTTGAGTCTTTTAATCAGAAAGAAGTCAGGTCCTAATGAACTTGAAATTCTGGTACTCCAATATACTGCGGGCAGTTTCAGTAGTGCTAGCAGCAAAGCCTTTAAATACCCAAGTCACAATCAACTAGAAATGGATGTATATGACTATACATAATTAGGGAAAATAAAATTGATGATCACTTGATATTAGTTGTTTGGGCATGACCTTTAGAAGTAAAAGGTAAAGGAGAAATTATAATATCATATTTTTGAAGGTAACTTTCTCCAGCTAATACTTTGGGGATACAAGAAGAAATCTCCTTTTGTTGTTCTCGCCACTTAAGTATATTCTCTGCCAGTTCTTCTGTCTCAGTCACCAAAACATTCATCTTGGTTAAAGCCTTGCTCCTTTTCTTTAGATTTGCATCTAAATGAGGGATATTTCTAATTGTTTCAAGATGGGTTTCCAATCTCTCAATGAAAGTCACAGCCAACTCCAGCAAATGTACCATATATCTGTGATAATAAGTCTCCAAAGGTAAGTTTTCCTGGCACATGGGTTTCAACAGTCTTTGCCTGAGGGACCTCTTTTCTTTCAGCACAGCTTCCAGGTGATTATTCATACTTTGTAGATCGTGACACTTTTTGAGACAAATAGAAAGGATGAACAACATCTGCTGCATCTTTTTCTAGTTTCAGAAGTTCAATTTCCAGGCTTTTCTGATAGATTTCGGCTTGAATATTTGTGATCTGTTGTAGTCTGGAGAATTTCTCAAAGAAAGGAGCTGTTTTCTTAGATATATTTAACATCTCCTGAGTGACCAACCCTGAAGCCACGAAGTGGCGCAACAGTAGCCCTGCGGAGTTCCGCGCGGAAGCCGGGTCCCAAGGGCTGGCAGCAGCCATGATTCTAACACACCTCCCCGCTTGGCGCCAGGAGTGAGCGGAAAGCGCGACGAACGCTCGGCGCGGGTCGATGACATCACACGGCGTTCCCGCCCAGGCGGAAGCCCTGGGCTCAATCCCTTTCATAATCAGCAATAATATACTCCTAAGAGTAGAGTCCTTATGACCTAGCACTTCGCATTAAACCCACATCCCAACACTACTGCATTGAGGCTTGATTTTTTTTCACATGAACTTTTTAGGAGTATACCTTGAACCATAGCAGTGACCATCACTGTCTTTTCTGATGGAACCTGTCTGACTGTAGATCTGAAATCACCTTCACTGATTTAAGTCTCAAAGAATAGAGGCAGCTCTTTACAAAAATATTTAGTATAAGTCTATAGAGCACGAGAGCCTGCCAGTTAACACATGTATGAGCTTGTACAGATGGTCTAACCTTCCAAAGCCTTAATTTCATCTTCTACAAAATAGAAACAGTGGTAATGCCTACCTCACAGTATTATTTAGTTACCCAAGTTAATAAGTGAAAATCACTTAGAACAGTAGCCAGCCCACAAAAACACCTAATCATTGGCAGTTGTTGTTTTTGTCTATGGCAGTCCCAAATGTCCCAGAAGGAGAGCTTAGAGCTGAACAGAAATTCTCACCATGGCGACTATAATTATGACTTTGACATTTAGATTCAATCCATGAAAATCCAAAGCTTATATAGCATTATCCACAGTTGAAAACTGTATAGTCCTCGATATGAAATTCAGTAACTGCTTCAGTTCTCATTGATCATGTGTGGTATGCCAATTTGGAAACAACTTTTCTCAAGGGAAAGTTTAATATAGAGGTTTTCCACAGTCTAAGAAACATTTCACTTGACTTGTTTCCTCGTGCTTGTTACATAAAATTCTGGACTAAGTCTAAGACAAGTGTTGAGCCCACTGACATAAAACCATGGTCTAAGGTAGCTCCCTGTGTTGGTCAGCTGTTGTGACTCTAACCAAAATATGTGACAAGAACAACCTAGAGGGGGGATTTTTATTTGGGCTCATTGTTTCAGAGGTCTCCATCCATTGTCGACTGACTCCATTGCTTTGGATCTGAGGTGAGGCAGTGCTTCTTAGCAGAAGGACATAATGGAAGAAAACTTTCCAACTCATCAGCCAGAAAGGAGGGGCAGGAGAGAAGAGAAGGAGGAAGAGGGAAAGGAGCGGAGGAGAGAGGAAGACAGAAAGAGAAGGGAGGTACCAGGGGCAGAAATAACCCAAGGCCATACCCACAGTGATCTGTCTCTTCCAACCATTCCTATACCTGCCTAGAGTTTCTGCTGTTACTAATCTGTTAAATAGATTGATCCACTCAGGAGGCCACAGCTCTTATGATGTGATTATTTCACCTCTCAACATTGCTGCGTTTCCTCACACATGAGCTTTGCGGGGTGGGTATTCTAGATCCAAATCACAGCACTATCTCTCACTGGTAAATAATATATGCCCCTTGCCACTAGCAGCACTTAGGAGATGTAGGAATCATCTTCCATTGACTCTTGATAACAGTGACAAAAAATCATTTGTTGCTTAAAAAGAAATATCTTCCTTTCTCTTCTTGGAGTATGTAAACAAAGTGTTCTTCCTTTAATCAAAGCTTAGAACTGATCTTATATGACATGGTCAGCAGAGATGAACCAAGTATTCCTCTTATGGAGAGAATTCCAATTTCATAGACATCTGAAACTGCATCTTGTGGAGGCTGATGGGACATCTCCATTGCTCAGAAAACACAAATATATTTACTATTTCATCTGTCATGAATACTGCTGCTTCCTGAACCTTACCCTTTTTCTCACAATATATTTATTCCTAGAAAGAAAGTCGGTCATAGTTATAACAAAGATCACAATCCATTTATCACATTAATAATACATGAATTTGACCATCCAGGCTGCTTAATATCTTTCAACTCTTTGTTAACTCATTTGCTCAAAATATAGAGTAACAAGTAAAATAGCAAAAGGTAGATGATGTCATGTCTCTGGGCTCCTCTTGACCTGTCAAGAAAAAAAATCACAGTTCTCAGACTTTCCTTATTTTTTATGATACTGAAAGTTTTAAGGAATATTATTCAGGGTTTTTTGTTGTTATTGTGGGGTGCAGAGGTAGAATGGGGATTGAACTCAGGGGCACTCAACCACTGAGCCACATCCCCAGCCCTATTTTGTATATTATTTAGAGACACGGTCTCACTGAGTTGCTTAGTGCCTCACTGTTGCTGAGACTGGCTTTGAACTCACCAGCCTCCGAAGTTGCTGGGATTACAGGCACATGGCCGGTCTGTTCAGGTATTTTGTAGAGTATTCTTCAATTGGGATTTGTCTGATTTTTCTTAATCATGATGAAAACTTGAGTTACCTTTATTTTTGAAAAGGAAAACCAAGGTAAAATGCTATTCTCACTACAAATTTGTCAAGCGCACTATCTACATGACATCATTCTTGATGTCGATTTGGGCACCTGGATGAGATAGTGTTTGTCAGGTTTCTCTACTTATACTTCTAGAACACAGTCACAATGAATAGCCCATATTTTAGGAGTAGGAAATTATACGATACTTCATTACAGGAGCACTATTTACATAAAATATTTGAAATTCACCTCTTCTTTCCATTCATTTATTTATTCAAAGTTATATTTGTGCCACCATGGGCTCATGGATATTTATGCTATACAATTTACTCTACTTATAATCTAGTACTGCTTTGTTTATTTTGTTGCCCAAATTGTTCCAGTTTTGGCCATTGAGTATCTTTCTGTTGGTTCCTGCATCCCGTCTATATCTCCTAAGAAAATTGATCTATTTATTTATTTTGAGCATAATCTTGATTTTTGAACTAAGAGATGTTCCAGGATAATATTTTATATTACCTTCCCTAGTTGGTTGTGATGGAGAATGACATTAGGAACTGTAATCTGTGTACTGGATGTGCTCCTTGCTACTGGGATGTAATTTGTTTTAGAGCCTTTTGATTGACAGAACAAGAATGCGTATGTGTCTAATAATTCATGAATACAATGTATCTATAAATTTTTCTATATGTAATCATCTGTACCTATATTAAAATAAACATGAAGTCATGCTGATGCCTCCAATTCCAATTTATTACTACATGGAATAACAATATTCCTTGCCAGTCTGAAAATACCAATAAAGGAGGAATATGGCTCACATCCATGGATTTAATTTTTCAATTCCAATACACACATGTCATACTGTCATTTATCCATCTTTGCTATCTTAAGGAAATTATTTCACTGTCCTAAAAATCTTTTCTACTTCACTGATTAAACCTTTTCTCCCTCCCCTTGTACCTCTGGCTTCCACTGATCTTTTTATTGTTTCTATAATTTTGCCTTTCCAAGAATATCATAAAATTGGAATCAGAATGTATGAAATAAAAATTAAGAATGGATTCTTTCATTTAGAATACATTTAGGTTTCATTGTGTTTTTTGGCTGTTTAATAACTCCTGTCATCACTGAAGAATATTCCATTATATGGATATACCATTCATCTATTGAAGGATGTCTTGGATGCTCTAATTTCTAACAAATGTGAATAAATCTGCTATGCACATTCATATTCACTTTTGTGAGTGGTCATCTTTGCTACCGTAAGGAAATTATTTCACTGGGCATGTTTCCAAAATATCTGGGAACCCTTATGCTGGATTGCATGGTAATACTATGTTTAACTTTATAAGAAAGGGATTATTTTTAAAATCATTTCCATACCAATGTTTTATGATCGTACCAGAAGTCAGCAATTGTTGCTCCTATAGCAATGGTTAATAATGATAAAATGCAATGATATTTTACAAAGGTATACCATGTCAGTACCATTCATTTCCCCAGTGAATAAGTGCTTTATCTTAATCAAATCATTTGGGATGAATAACAAAATTCACATAAAGAATAGAGAAATTGATGCTGATTTGTACCTACCACCTTAGAGATCTCAAATCTCATGTGATTCATGCTAACAGTCATGAAGAAATTATTTTCTTTATCAGTGTTTCAAGGCATATTCATTGGCCTATCTTTGGCATTCAATGAGATGTATTCATGCCAGAAATTGTAGTGCTATATAATCATATAATCCCAATGGTTTATGAACTCTGGCAAAATACAATCTGACTCTTAAAATTGAAGCATTTCATTGAAAAGAAATCTGTTGAAATTCAAATTTAAAAAAAACTCTCAGCTTGCATACTTATATTTAAATTCCAATTAAAGAATGTTGTCTATCTACTGAGATTTTCAGATTTATCATATATCTTATTAGTCAGCTCAGGCTACCATAGCAAAGTGCTAAAGATTGAGTAAACAACAAAAGTTTATCTTCTTGTAGTTCTACAGGTTAGAAATCTGGGACCATCTCATCAGCAGGGCTGGTTTCTTCTACGGCACCGTCTTTCCTCCATATGTATTTGTCTTAATGTGCTCTTTAAAGAGCCCAGTCATGTTGGATTAGGGCCCATCCTAATGAACTTATTTTAACTTAGCTCTTTAAAGCTCATATCTCCAAATAAGGTCCTATTCTCAGGTAGTAGAGGTAAGGACTTCAATATTTGGGGGCACACAATTGAGCCCGATATATGTACTTTAGTTTTCACTATCAATTTTTAAATTGGCACTGATCACAAATTCAACACAGACTCGATTTACCAGGAATGTCATAGAAAAGCTTTTTAAAAGGTGAGATTCTCAGGAAAGTTTTATTTTTCTTTCTTCATTTTAAAAAGCATTCAGAGGTGCCTGGCAAGACAACATCCAGCTCTCACATCAGGATTGGGACACCATTTCCTACAATATCATTTCCAACTAAGCCTCAGTGTATCAAAAATACTGTTATTACCAGGACCAAAGCCTGAGGAAGGAAATAGCTTTGACAGCCCCTGGACCTCAATTTAACCACAGGAAATCTGAGAGGAAAAAAGACATGTATAAAAA